AGTCTAAGAATACAGCAGTCTGTAATAGTTGGAAAAGGCAAGGAAACAGATTCTCCACTACAGTCTCTAGAAGGAGCAGCCCCACCAATGCCTACATTCTACAAGTGCTGACCTTGAGAACTGTAAGATAATAAATTTAAGCTGCTAAGTCTGTGATGATTCATTACAGAACCAGTAAGAAATACACAACCCCCAGGGGAGTACTGCTCCCATTTCCAGAGGAGAAAACTGAAGTTTAGAGAACTGCAGTGACTTGTCTGTGAATATACGCCTAGTCAACAGCAGGGCCAGGAATTAAACCTACGAGTCTGTACTTCTCTCTGTGTGTGTGTGTGAGTGTGAGTGTGTGAGACTCTATGCTCCTGTGCATGATTTTAGCAATATTATAAGTGTAGGTTTACAGTGATTATCTTTTGCTTGGGGGTGGGAAAGGATTATGGCTTCACAGGACAGACATAAGGAAGAAAGTAGAAACTCATAAAGGCAAATGACCCTCTGAGTTTTGAAACACGAGCAGTTCTTTCTTCTCAGGCCACCTCGGGGCAGAGGCAGGTTTATGCTAAGGTTTGTTTGGTTGTTGGTTTCTTTTTTTTAAATTTTATTTTTGTACCATACCACATAATTACACATTTCCTTTTAGAACATTCTGTCATCTGGGAGATTTTCTTACAGAAATTCTAAAGAGCGTAGGCTCTCAGGAAACCAGCCAAGATCTACATGAAACTATATTTATACATATGCCAAAATGAAATATATAAAATAAAATAAGCACAAAGACACAAACTGGGCATTTTAGCTGAAGGCAAGGGACGTGTTACCCTTAACAACCCCACTGTGTTACGGAGAATACTAGGATTAGATGGGACTTCAGAGATTGCACCATAAAACCTTCTATGTGCTTAGCCAAGAGCATGTTTTATTAATCCTCACAGTGACATCGTGAGGTGGACACTTTCGTTCCAACACTGCCACAGAGGCCCCCAAGGCTGGGGACATACAAATCCAATGACCAAGAGCACAGGAGCGCTTTCAAAAAGCCAAGGCCTTGACCTGGATCTTCTTACTTCAAGCTGATGCTCTTTCCAGCCCAGCACAAATGACTTCCTCTCATCTGCTTGCTTTTCAAAGAAGGCAACTGCGATCTACAGAAAAATGGCATTGTGTACAAACCTTCAAAGCAGAGAACGTATTTACTTATTTATGTATTTACTCGCTTGTTTATTCATTCATTCCTCGATGTAATTATTTATTGAAACGCATGTACCAGAAACTATTTTGAAAACTAAGGAAGGGAATCAAATCCTAAAAAAAAAAAGAGAGAAACATCGAGGATAAGAATCACTCAAAGAACCGCACACCAAGTAGACATGGACTGACCCTGGGGACAAATCTAAGCATCCTATCACCAAAGCAAGAGAAGACCAAGTTGCCTTTTCAGCTTTCCTTGTACTGACACCTGTGAGAAATTTCATCCTGGGGTCACTGTGGCCAGAACCAGCAGCTAAGCACCTCAACTGCACTAATGCCACTAACCGACCCCATAGCAGTCCTTCTCATGAGGACGCTCACGACTGTCCCAACATTAACCAAAACAAAGACCAGTGGAGGCATCGTCTGAGTGGTCTCCATCTGCAAGTTTCACTCAAGGGAAAATTTAGAGCTTCTAGAAAAGGAAAGGAAAGGAAATAGGATTCCATATGGAACTCTGGGCTATATTTTATCTACTCTACAATCCCCAACAATTGTAAGAAACACTAGCACTCCACTTAATGCTAAGGAAAAAATGAAACAAAACAAAACAAAACAAAAATCCCACAAGACTGCCAATTAAACTGTGTGAAACCATTTATAGTAAGATACATCTCAATTTCAGAGATGTTAAAATGTGGAAAATACATACACTTCAGAATCAATGAAATATGCTTCACCACTGCAGGACTTATCAGAGCCTGTACTATCCCTGGGTAACTACAAGAGGCAGTTATAGAGAGTAGTTTCCCCTCCTACAAACACTGAACACTGATCATGGAACTAAGGTAGCTCGGGGTCCACCCTGGAAAACACCTGTCTGAATAAAGAGGTGGATTTTATGTGTTTCTATCAATTGTCAGTGAATATTTCTTACATTTGAGATTTGCAAATGTTTAAAGGGCAGAGAGCACAAGGTTATAATGTTTGGCAAGAGCCTAGTGTGCAAATATCCTACAGTAACAATTAAAGGTGAAATCCACATCCTTCAACCAGAAGTCAGAGGACTGAGCGCTCAGGTGCTGGCTTAAAGTGGGAATCGTAACAGAGTAAGTGCCAGAATGGATCCCCCATATCTCTCTCTTGAACCCCTGGGGGGCTCAGAGAATATTGTCTGAGGAAGGTGATGCTTAAACCATGACTTGAAGATGAAACAGAGTTGTCTGAGCTAAAGGGCCAGGAACAAGTGGGAGTCAGTGGAGCCACAGAGGAGAAGAGGCACAGAGGGAACATTGTCGCCAAAATTCTAGAAGCTGAAGCCAAAAGGCCTGATCCAGGAAGAGGAACCTGGCTGGAGGTGCAGTTGGGAAGCTAACACTGGGAACAACTTGTTTAGCTGTTTTAAAGGAGGAACTTGGCTCGGTGTCTGTGGCTCAAGTGGCTAAGGCGACAGCCACATACACCTAAGGTGGCGGGTTCGAATCCAGCCCAGGCCTGCCAAACAACAATGATGGCTGCAACCAAAAAAAATAGCCAGGTGTTGTGGCAGGCGCCTGTGGTCCCAGCTACTTGGGAGGCGGAGGCAGGAGACTCACTTGAGCCCAGGAGTTGGAGATTGCTATGAGCTATGATGCCATAGCACTCTACCTAGGGGGACAGCTTAAGGCTGTCTCAAAAAAAAAAAAAAAAAAAAAAAGGAGGAACTTCATGTAACAATTATCAACTGAGTGCTTAGTATGTTCCAGGCACTGGAGATAGAGCAGTAAGTAAGACATTCAGTAAGGGAATCATTAAGTGAGATGGCTTTATACCTATTAGACTAATTACAACTATGGTTTACTGAGTGCTTAATTAAGTATGCCAGCCCCCAGTGCATGTATAATTTCATTTAATCCTCACAGAGGAGGTACAAATTACTTCTGATTCTACATGAAAGAGCAAAGTCTCAGAGAAATTGAGTGACTCGTCCATGGCTAGATGTGGCCAGAGGACAGACATCGGATCTTTCCCAACTGGCACTGGAGCCACAAGGCCTGAGTTTGGATCGGAATGTCCCCGCACTCATCAGCCCTGTGACCTTGGGCAAGTCACTGAGCCCTTCTGTGCTTTATTTTCTTAACAATAAGATGGGAATCGTAATAGCACGCCCCTTATAGGGTTATTAGAATAATCGAATGGGCTAAGGTACACAAAACACTAAGAATAGGCCTGGCACGTAGGAAGTTCTTAATAAATGTTAGCTGTTATTATTATCCTGGCTGCAAACACACGTATTAAAACTGCTCCTACCCAGGACACGGAGAAAGGTCACAGAGCTCTGAGCAAGTTGGCAAGGTCCCCTTGAGGAGGGCTTGTTTTGTTTTCCCTGCTTAATTCAACAGCATCCCACTTCCCTCTCACCAACTCTCTCAGAGTACCTGCTAATAGCTTCCCCTGTTTACAGTGCTTCTACCAAGTGGGCAACTTCCCATCTGCATGCTTAATAGACAATTTCCAAAGCACGTTCAAACTGCAGTTGGTTTCAGGAGATCTGGGTTTTCTTTTCTCTTTTGTTCTGTTTATCCAACATTTGGATGGGCGTTAACAGCTCACAACACACTTTCATTCATTTAGTCTTATTTAAGACTTTCACAGACTTTTCACCCCAGAGAAGCTCACTTTATCCTGTCTTTCAGATCCCAAAACCGAGAAGCCAAGGGCATTGGGTCACTAGTGGATATCGTTAGGATCACTGTTTTTAGTTACTTTATTGGAGGAACACATACAGCGCTAACTGTGCCGGACTCTACTCTAAAGCACTTTGTAAATGCTGATGCAACTGCAGTGTAAGTAATGGATTTAGTCCACATATCATCATTAGGTAACTTTCTCAAGGTCATACAGCAAGGAGGCAGTCACTGAGCAACCTCCTCCACCTTAATGGGGTAACAAATGTAACATACTTTGCGCTCTTCATGACCAGCATTACATTAAGGTAGGTCTTATTAAAGTTTTACGGATGAGGAAACTGAAGGTCAAAGGTCCTAAGAGCCCAGCCTTATGTCTAAGAGAGAGTGGTAGGGCTGGGATTAGGCTGTCTATTGAATCCAAGCTTCCCTGCAGGGTGCTAGGGATGGGAAGTGGTAATAGTTTCTGATGTCAAAATCCATTATTGCTGTGCCTGCTGCTGTTGCTGTTGTTATTTGCCACAGAAAAGCCCCCCCCCAGCCCCCCAAGTATTCAGAGAGAAAAATAACAAGATAAAAACACAGCTGATTCTGTATGCAAGCCTGCAGACCCAAAGCCATGCATAATTTACTCAACACTGCCCTGCAGTCACTTAAGCTGAGGAGAGACGCTATAAATTCAGCTCTGCATACCCTAATTTATTTCTTATTTATTTTACTGATACATGTCCAGGGCCTCCAGTGAGCTGCTCCAATACCTGCTGGAAGGCACCTGCAGCCCCCAGTGCAATGAGGGCAGGAAAGGAAACCCTGATATAAGCCCCAGACGGAACACTAGACTTCATGTACTAGAACCATGCAAGTTAAATTAATCTTCTGGTAAACTGGAATTAAACCCATGCGAATTCCCACCTCATTTTTGTGTGAAATGTAAGCCTGAAAAGGTTGCTAAATGGCTTATGCCGCTTTCTCATCTTGGTAAATAAAGCAGTGAGCATCCCTCTCCCATGAACACAGGGTTACTTTGGGGAGCCACAGAATCTCAAAAGGTGGGCAAATTTTCTGATATGAAGACATTATCAGAAAAGGAATGAAGAGGAGAAGAAAAAGGCTGCTATTGTCTTGAATGATTACTGAGGACCAAACACTATGCGAGGTGCTGTCCATGGCAGAGGTAACTCCCACCACGCTTTCAAAAGGGAAAGTAAGGTAAGTTGGAAAAAACAGGAGCAAGGATGGCACAGCCATCTCTTTTCACAGCTGATCCACCAGCAGCCTGGAGACAGAAAGTGACACTCAGCATGCTGGCCCCCTCCTGCCTTCCCTTGCAGTCTCACACTAATGTTAAAACTCAGTTTGAAAGATTCACTCATACGAATCTTTCTAAAACTGTCTTAACACAATAACTAAGTAAATGACATAAAGTCTATGTTAACCAGTTTGAGGAAAATATTTCAAATTGTATATGAAAACACTACACTGTACCCGTTTTGCATTAATGTACACAGCTATCATTTCATAAAAAAATAAAAAAAATAAAAAATAAAACTCAGTTTGACTTCATTATGAGCAGGAAGCTGTACTACCAGCTTTACCTGAGTTATTTCCTTTGCCCCTCCTCTCCTCCAATTAATTGTCCTTACAGCCTGAGCATTAGGGCACCGAGAGGCTAAACACTGAACGCACACTGTTAGATTCCTGCAGAAATTGAGTTAGAAGCTTGGGCATAGCTATACCCGTATGCATCACATCTGAAGTTTTCTCTGTGCCCACCTTCAAGGCACAGGCTTTGGCTCCAAAGCGCACTACCAGGGCAGCAGGGATGGACGCAAAAGGGTAAGAGACCATCGAGAGAAAGATTATGACCCTAGAGATTGGGCATGGGTTCCATTTACCATATTTATCAATCAATTATTTAGCTTTCTTTGTACATTCTTCTGTTCACTACCCAACAAAAGTCATAC